GCTACGATTTCTAGAGAGGGAAAGTCGAGTTCCTGGAGAAGAGTCCCAAATGTCATCAGTGGAAGAATAATCGTGACACCAAAGCAGCGTGCCAGTACTCCCCCCATGTCTATCACCCGATTACCAACCTAGGTTTAACACAGTACAGCACCCGGTAGGGAATATGGTTTGTCGAAACGTTTCGTACACATGTTCCCACGACTACAGACCCCTCTCAACAAGCCGAGGCGATCCCATAGCTCTGTCTTGCAGCTGAAATGTGAACATCTCCCCCATCAGGGAGGATTTCAACGAAACTTGGTCCTGTTTGTCATTCTTGTGGTGAAACCTGTGGTGCGTTTCATTATGTGCTCAAGCTCCACCCCAGTGAGACTGCGGTATAAGTTAGCGCATGTGAAGTCCTTGTGGAGGACTACAGTTCTAACAACTGGGTGACGGGAACAACTGGGGGGGGGGGTGCTATTAGTCAAAAGATTTGGCTGATTTTCGCAGCGGTTAATCGTGGAATGCTTCTTCTGCATATGGTCACAGAAATTCAGTGCCCCTTGGCTGTTAAATGGCGTTCAGGTCAAAATCCTTAGTTGGCTTTCTGGGCTACCAACCCTGTATATAGCTCCGGAGGTAGGGCCCACCATGGTAGAGGAGGGTTCTTGAAAGAGCGGTTTTATTTCGGTCGCTGCTGGTGGACAAAGCATCGATGAAGGGTGCGGTAATTTTGGTAAATACCCTGCGCCCACCTAGTCTATAGCTTTTCAGGGAAAACCCGTAGAGTGGAAGGGTATTTTTCAAACGCTAAAAAGGCTGGTGTACATGAAAATACTTCGGTGAACTGGTTTCATGCTTCAAAGGGAAAGCGGAAACTGTGGTAGGGAAGAAGGGTAGTTGGATTTTGAGGACCTTGAGACAGAAGGGGCCAGGCTTGCACACGTCTGGTAAAGGAGATCATTCGAAGGCTTCCTGCCAAATCTAGGGGCTTGAATCATGAAAGTTCTTAGCCCTCTCGAAGAGGCATCAGGGGTGACAAGCCGTTCCCTGCAAAAGGTTACTGTAGTCCCAGTCTTATGTACAAATAATGTGCTCCGTGGCTGGTTTCCCTGGTGTTCGCCTCAATGACCAAATCTTTTCACCACCATCTTATGCCCTGCCCTAGGAGCGTTTCAACCCTTTTAAGCTGGGCCAGCTGAGCTTAGGAACTCTTTTAGGCGAATATTTTTTCCAAAAATGAATTTTTCTATATTTTCAGTGTGACAAGTGCCTGAAACGATTCAGTCATTCGGGCAGCTACAGTCAACACATGAATCATCGTTACTCGTACTGTAAACCCTATAGAGAGGGTATGGTAGCAGCAGCTGTGGTGGCCGTGACCAGTAACGGTAGTGCTGCTCCCGACAATTCGCCATTATCTGGCGCTCCAAATCCAACACCTCTCGAGGTACCGCTCATGGGAACACAGCTCAGTCCTCTGCTCACTCCAGCGTCTCTTGTTTAATTCATTCGTCTTCGAAATTCCCCAAATATTTCTTCTCGTCGCCATCCTCACCCCTTCTTCCCCACTCTTTCCTCATCCATTACTGATGTGCAACAACACAAATGCCTCACTTTTTGCCAGATCTCGTGTGATATATGTATGTTATCGATTTTGTTCTGTTTTTACTATATATTATGCCCCCGCTCTCCCGTATCTTGCCATGTGTACATATACTACATATATGGTGCTGCTTTGTCTTGTTAGGGTTTTCGCATATTTGTAGCTCAACTTCCCTTGAGAAGCCTTTTCTCAAGGTGCTACAACCCCATCCGGGAAGGGGATGATTGCTCTTCAGCTGATTGGTGCTTGGATGTATATAGAAGCTTTGGTAGGGCTGTTTTCATGCTTCTCACCGCCCTTACCAGCGAAATTTCATGGCTAGGTACAGATGTAGCACGGATCTGCGGTCCAGTGGGAAATAGAATACCTACCTGAGCCCTGGGAGCGGGAACGAGCTCCGAAATGGGTGATTCACTTCTCGTGGAAACCCATTTGGAAGAATCACTCTACTCACAGCGCATCGCCATTCAACCCATAACTTTTCGAACTGCAGACTTCTGCTTCACCTGCACCCACAATGGGTATTGATTTTACGCGCACACATCAATATTCCAAGATTCACATCCAACGATAGAGGGTACTGTAAGAAGCATGATAGCAGCCTGCAATCTGTTCCTCATTCTCTTATATTTCTTTTCACATGGCCGGTGGTTGTACGTTCGTTGTCGTAGTTGTCCTAAACAGTGGTACGTAGTGCTAGTCCTCTTCGAGTAGGAATTTCTCGTGTTTTCTTGGCTCTTCAGTCTCTTTCCCTCTCTATTTGTTTAGTATACTAGTTAGTTACTCGTATACTATGTTCATTTCTCATATAGTCAATTGAGCACATGTGCAAGTGCGCTTTTATTCGCGATCAGTTCATCACAATCACTTGAGACCAATTTCTTTATGTTTCTATTGAGATTCCCTTACACAGCGGTTGTCATTCATTATAATAACGAATTTAATAAAGAAGCATATACGTTACTCTGGAAATGACATGTTGTCTGTGGCTGTGGTCCGAGTAGAAGCGCTCATTTCGGCCGCTGTGTGATTAATGCGATTTACCGCTGGCTTCGAGCGCAGTTTGGATTCTGAAATGATCGATAGGTTAGGGATAACCGGGGAAACCCAGTGACACCTATGGGAAGTTTCAGTGACAGTTGACTCCTACCAAACTGTAATGATGCTAAGGAGGAGGCGGCGTAGTTGTTGAGTGTTATAGAAAGGAGTCATATTACGGTTGCACAGGAGGGGGTCATACTAGCCTAACTAAGATTGGATATGGAAGAATGTGGACATTTGGGCAAGAAGGGAGATTTCTACCGTTGCTGGCCCTACACCCTATAACACGTTGTTGGAGGGGGGGGGGGTGGGGTAGCAGTTGAGGCAGCTGTCATCCTGGACAACAAGTTCACGTGAAGTACGGAGCCTTGCTTACAAGTCCATAATATGGAGAGAAGTGCTGCTGATCCAGGGTTTTATGTTCTGGATACTGAAGAGGTGAAAGGTGGAGCTGGTACCAAGATCGTTGTTGAGGATTCCCGAACAGGGGGTCGTATTTGGTCGCTGGGAGAGAGGGGGTCGTATT